ATCCTAACTATAAATACACATTGATGGGGTCTGAACTGGCAGAGACTGATCAAGAGAGATATCTTGGAGTTGTAGTAGATAACTCACTGAAAATGTCGAGACAGTGTGTGACTGCAATAAAGAAGGCCAATGCTATGCTGGGGATTATTAGGAAGGGTATTGAAAGCAGATCAGCCAATATCATAATGCCCCTATATAAATCAATGGTGTGACCTCATTTGGAATACCGTGTGCAGTTCTGGTCACCACACCTTAAAAAGGATATTATAGCTTTGGAAAAAGTGCAGAAAAGGGCAACTCGAATGATAAAAGGGTTGGAACACTTTCCCTATGAGGAAAGGTTAAGGCACTTAGGGCTCTTTAGCTTGGAGAAACGACGACTGAGGGGTGACATGATTGAGGTTTATAAGATAATGCATGGGATAGAGCAGGTAGAGAAAGAGGTACTTTTTTCCCTTTCTCACAATACAAGAACTCGTGGGCACTCCATGAAATTGCTGAGCGGTCGGGTTAGAACGGATAAAAGGAAGTACACCCAAAGAGTGACTAACACATGGAATTCACTGCCACAGGAAGTGGTGGCGGCTACAAGCATGGACGGCTTCAAAAGGGAATTGGATAAGCATATGGAGCAGAGATCCATCAGTGGCTATTAGCCACAAGGTATAGATAGGGGCTCTGGGGCAAGGGATGCTCTGTCTTCTTGGTGCTTGGGGGGGGGAGTCAACAGTGGGAGGGGCTTCTGGTGTCCTGGCCCCACTGCTGGACCTCCTGATGGCACCTGGTACTTCTGGCCACTGTGTGACACAGAAAAGTGTTGGACTGGATGGGCCTTTGGCCTGATCCAACATTGGCGTCTCTTATGTTCTTATGTACCCAAGAGGCCTGTCAGGCAAATGCTTCAGGGGGGCACACCAAGCCCACCTGGAGCAGACAAAAGCCGTGCATGTATTGAGTCAGAAGACAGCACCATGAAAACCTGCCCAGATATCGCCAGACATTGTTGTAGAGACGAGGGGGTCCCCAACCTCTCCCGCCCCTTTTCCAGGATCTCAGAAGTCGGGAGAAGCTGGGGGGGGCAAAACTCCCTCCTCCGAAGGGGGCCCAGGAGTGGGGAGGCGGGGTGCTTCTCACGCCGGGTGCCGCTCTTGCCCTGCAGAGGCCTCGTCTTCCCTGGACCCGCCACCCTTTCAGAGGGCAGCGGATGAAGGGAGCCTTTGACTCTGGTGGGCTGCTAAGAAGCGGCTGGCTTCAGACCGAGCTCTGCATAGATGCTGCTGCGGCTTCTCTTTTCCTTGCCGGGATCACCTGAGGCCAGCCTCCCGTGTAGCCATTTCCCTCCATACCTTCTGTTGGGAGCTTGTGATTACTGGGGCGGGGCGGGGGGAGTGTCAGTGACTTTTCCAGGTTTTTGCCTGGGAGGGGAGACGAAGCTCTCCTCTTAGTAAGGTTTTTAACACGAGGGCCCTGCCTGCCGTGCAGAGACCGCCCCATCACAGAACCAGTGAAAACGGAAACCCACAGCAGGCGCCCGTTCCCGTTCCAGGCCTCTCTGTCGCCCTGCCTGTGAATGCCTGCCGAGTGCGTGGACGGAGGGGCAGGGAAGGACGCCGTACAGACACCTGTGCTCTGCTGCCGCCGCCGCCGCCAGGAGGCCCAGGGAACAGGTGACGCAGGAGCTGCTATGCCACGGCTCCCTCCCTGCCCCGCCTGACCTGAGCTAAGGTGGCCGGAAGGGAACCCTTCGTGCTCCGCCTGCACGGCAGGAGGTGCCGAAGCAAGAGGAGAGTGAGGGTGGCCGCTACCCACCTGATGAGCATCTCAGCCAGACTCTTTGCATCTGCAAAAAGAAAGAAACAGAGTGAGGACTTGTACCTCGAGCAGAGGCTGGAGGCAAGGCCCGCCCACCTCCTCTAGGTGCGAAAGAGAGGGGACCCCTCTCTTGGCTTGGGGGATCCCCAACGGAAACGAAGGCAAAGGGTAGACATTCCAAATGACCATTCGCTTGGTCGTGCACGAGAGAGAGAGAGAGAGAGTGTGTGGTGGGCGATCCTGGTAAGACGGGGGGGGAGGCTGCATGCTCAGCTTCAAAGGAACAAGCAGCAAGGGGTGGAGGGGCCCTTGCCCCACACCTCTGCTCCTGCCGGCCTGGCTCTCAACAGGGAGGGGCAGCATGATTACACTATAGCCAGGCCACGGCTGCAGAAACCACAAGCCCTCTTTGCCCTGGAACAGAGGCCAGGCCACTTTCCCTGGGGGAGACCACCAAGCTCCCTCCCCCACACTGGTGCTGACTGAGACTGCTGGTGCCACCCACAGAGACGCCTGGCCCTTCCCCGCCACCCTCGGGCGGGCACGGACTCTGTCGGGCGGCTGCATGGGGTGCCCACACAGATGCTCTGGCTCTTTGAAAAGAGTTATGAGACACTGAGACCGTTTCTAAGAGTGGCAAGCTCTTCATTGACGTATGTGTCACATTGCAACTTTTCTATTAATGGCACAAGCAACAGCAGCTTCCGTGAGGTGGTCCTTCTCCCCTTGCCTCCTTGGCCACACGGAGGGAGGGAGGGAGGGAGGGGGCCCTGCAGCAGCAGCCGCACACCGCCCCTCAAGGGCAGGCAAGCTCACCTCTCAAGCGCTTCAGCCGCTTCTCCTTGCGCTTCTTGCGGACGACGAAGAGCAGTGCGACCCCCAGCGTGGCCAGGATGACCGGGCAGGCAATGGTGAAGAGCTTCTTCACGTCGTCCCCCTCCCCCTGGGCAGACTTGATGGGTGGGATGGTGCCTAGTTCCAGAAGAAGAAGAAGACGGGCTCTGGGTCAGAGGGGCCGAGGGAGGCCTTTCCCCCCACAGGCCAGGCGGCCTCTTCCACCCCTCCCCCGAGGTCTCCACTGAGGGTCACACTCACTCCCATCATAGTCCAAGGTGGCAAACGGCACAGTCTCGTTGCCACAGCCAGCGCTGTTGCAAGCCTTCATGCGCAGCTCATACCAGGTGGCTTCACGCAGCTCGGTCAGAAACACTTCGCTGGAGTAGTTGGCGCGTAGGTTCTGCCATACCCAGGTGCCCTTGGGCCGGTACTCCAGAACAATGGCGAGGATGGGGCAGCCCCCGCTGTTCCAGCCCTGCAGGTTCAGCCGGGCATGCGTAGAGTTAATGTGGGTGAACAGATGCTGCTCTTTGCTGAAGGAGGGCTCTGGAAGCAGAAAGGGGAGTCTAAGGGACGGCTGCCCATTGGCCAGAGGTGGCCCTGCTCGGCAGACTCCGTCCCGCTGCGCAGGACTGCAGCCCCAGGGGGCCAGAGGGGGCCCGCTCTTGGCTCTGGAGTCAGGGAGGACCTCGGAGATCTCCAGCCACGCCGACTCTTCTCCACCCCAGCATTCAAGAGCTGGTGTTCCCCCCCCCCCCCCCCCTGCCACTGCCGGGTGACGTGGTGGTGAAGTGCCTCGCCTCCTGGAAGGTTGGCAAGTAGGCTTTAATTACCCCCCGGAGCTAGGAACAGACAGGAGAGGGGGGAGGAAATGAGCCCATGGCATTTCAGAGGCACCTGCGGCTACCTCTTTAGAAATGCCAATGGATCTGGCAGAAGAGATAATGGGAGGAGCCAGCTCACCCCCCTTCTCCAGGCAGGAAACAAGAGTGTGGAGAGCATATTTTAGGCTAGACCAGCCCCAGAGACCATCTCCAGGGGACTCTTGGAGATTTCCCAGAATGCCTTCCAGGAGGGCTCCCAGGATGCACCTGGGTGTCCTGGACAGACCCAGTCAAAAGGGGTGGAGAGACTGATGTAAAATGAGTGGAGTCAGAGACTTAATTCAAGTGCTTGCCCCGAGGAGGGTTAGGGTCTCCTGGTGCTGGAAGAGGACAGACTGTTGGGCTCTGGTCTGCAGGCTGGCCGCCACCTTCTAACCCTGTGACCTGGCCTGCTGGCTGCAGGGAGCCCCAGGCAATGGGACGTCTCTAGAACACTTTGCAACTTTCTAAGTCTGTCGGTACCTGCTCTGATCGAGCCATCTAGTCAGAGCACATTCTAGAACCAGGGAAAGGATGATGCGTTTATAACCAACTTCCCTTTGTTAATCTGGTTGATGATCTGGTGCTGTGCTAAAAGTATGCCTGTAAACACTTTCTTTTAAAATAAATATCTTACTCTCTGATACTCGTGGTGGTTCTTTGTACCACATAGCATTCCAACAGCTGTTGGACACACTACAGAGGAAACGGGGGCCCCAAATGGGGGGGGGAAGTGCTCAGTGTACGAGTGGCCAACCCTCCAGGGAAGCCCCAAAGATGCATTTGGTCCCCGTGGTAACCAAACACTGGGTAGCAGGAGACCTTGAGGCCCAGCCTCAGAACTGAGAAGGGGAGTCATAGGATCTTTTCGCTTCTCCAAGCCTGTAAATCCCAAAATTACATGATGCCAGGGTGCCCACTAATTTCATCTCATCTACCAGTTCTTCCCTGTTGGTGAGATTCAACTCCAAGATAGCAGATCCCCTTGTTTCCCTCTTCTCTTCCTGGAAAGCGAAGTTGTCAGTAGGACAAGACAGGAATTTATTGGACCTTTCGTTTTTAGCAGAGTTGGACTTCCAACAGATATCCGGGTAACTGAAATCTCCCGTGACCACCATGTCCCGTATCTTTGAGGACTTTGCAATCTGTTCTAGGAGTGTCTCATTCAAGTCCTCTGCCTGGCTTGGTGATCTATAGCAGACCCCCACCATAATATTACTATTATTTCTTACTCCTTTTATATTTACCTAGAGACTCTCAACTGAACTTCCATGCTCAGATTCACATATTTCCTCACAAGTATAAACCTCCTTTACATATGGCACTCCTCTGACATCCTTATTTGTCTGTCCCTTTTAAATAAGTTGTACCCCTCAATCCTAATATTCCAATTGTGTCATCCCACCAAGTTTTAGTAATGCCTACTAGGTCTTAGTTCCCTTCCTGTATTAGGACTTCAAGTTCCTCCTGCTTGTTTCCCATAGTCTGTACATTATAGTGTAGAGACATTAGAATCCATGTTTTATGCACCCTGAGGTTTTTGTTTCTGTACTTACCTGCGAGTTAATGTTACCTAGCATATGTGCCACTCCCTGCAAAACTAGCATTTTATCTCCAGTTATTGGCATCATAACAGGCTTTGAATTCTTGTCTCGCTCCCCCATATGATTTAGTTTAAAGCCCTCCTTATTAGATTTGCAAGGCTCTTACCAAGCACATTTTCCCTACCCTCAAGAGGTGAAAACCATCTCCCGATAGAAGAACTTCATTTCGAAAGCATAAGCCATGATCCAAAAATCCAAACCTTTCCTGATGACACCAGTCATTTATTTGCGGTATTCTTTCCCTTCCTAAGCCATGGCCTTTGACAGGAAGAACTGATGCAAACACAACCTGTGTTCCCAGGTTCTTCACCTTCTTACCTAGAGCCACATCATCACATTCTGGGCTGTGCCAGACAATAATCATTTGTTCCCAAATGGATGAGCAAAAAAGGATGAGTCTTCCTACCCTTTCTGTCATGTCCTGGATGTGTGCACCTGGTAGACGGCATATCTTTCGAGACAACAAGTCCTGTCAGCACACTTTTAACTTCTACCCCTCGCAGTTGGGAATCCCCAATTACCAGCACAAATCCCCAATTACCAGTCAGGAGTCTGTTTCTCCTGGCAGGAAGACCCCAGGAGGACAGTGGTGGAAGGAAGTGGAATAGCTCCCTCCAGGAGTGGGCAGAACAGGAGGGTCTGTATGAGAAGCAGGCCTGTTCCATCACAGAAGTCATCAGACACACATGGCTGTCAATCACTGGCCATGCTGAGCCACACTTCTGTAAACTCACAGTTGGATGGGCTGCCCTTGAAGACAACCCAGAAACTTCAGCTGGGCTGCAATGGGGGCAGCCCTGTTATTGCCAGGGGCTAGCCAAGGGGGATATCTTGTGCCCATCTGGAACCAGCTTTCTTGGCTGCCAGTTTGTTTTTGACTTCAGTGCAAGGGGCTGCGGATGACCTTGAAAGCCCTTTAGAACCTCAGACCCACCTCATCCCGA